CATCATATTATTTATAAAAATTAGATCAATCCAAATATAACAAGCAAAACTCATGATTGAAATAATACAAAAAGAACTCTTCGTGATCAAAAATTCTGATTTGTATTAAAACTGGGTGGATTGAGAAAGATGTTACCTCAATAAAGGTGGCTAATAATATGTTTGAATATGATATTAGTTCACGAAAAGTAGACTTACTTATTCAACGTTTATCAGACAATATGGAAGTGATGAACACTGAAGTTTCAGGATCACCATTCAAAACTGCACAACCACACGTAGTTGGAGACATAAAAAAATTGTTGATGATGTCTGTTTGCAATCTTTGCCAATTGTTTTGCAGTAATCTAGATTGTAGCGTCAAAGTAGATCACTTTGTATATGATCACGTGATAGATTTTATAGTAAAATCATCACATGATTAGGTCATTTTAAGGTCACTTCAAGGTCATTTGCCAACACTGCAGTATTCAGGTCATTGGTGACCGTCTTACATTATTTTCTGTTTCCCTTATAGACCAAAAGAAATGCTTGGCAATAGAGCTGGTTACTTGTATAATCCCTTTTTCATTTGATTCCATTTCCATTTTACAAAAATCTTCAGTTTTTTCAAAATCATTTAAGAAACAAGAAAAGTTACGAAAAAAAATATCCAATCCAGCTGACAATATTACTGAAAGGGTATGAGACTGGCTTTTTTTCCCGATGATGCCTTCTTTTATGACTTAAAGACTTTGCCAGAGGATAGTGATAAAGGTTATGATATAATTGCTACTTGAACATTCTGCAATGACAGCAAAACGGTTGGATCGTATCTTCTAATAGGCTTAATTGGTGTATTTTTTTGTATATGATATAAAATTAAATTCTTAATATTTGTAAAATAGTAAATTCTGTAATTAACTGAAAAATAAAAGTTGCATGAATGCATATTATTATTACTTACGTGATATAGGTAACAGATTTTATATTATCCCTTAGATTGTAGAGGTTTGCAGGCAAATTTGCCTGCTTATTTACTACAAATTCCCTTCTGATTTACTTT